ATTCGAAGTTAAACTTTTTGTAACTGTAATGGTGTAGCTAGTTTACACCAAAAGCTCTACACCATCTCTACTCAAATGCGTTTAGAGAAGTCCTATATAAAAAAAAAAAGTATCTCAAATGTAGTCTAATATTCACCAACATAACCACAAAAACAAGACACTCGAAAGGCTCCTCTACCTATTTATTAGGATTGTACTGCAAGTCCGTAGATACCTGTCCTATAACTAGCTGTAATGAAATACAAGAGACTTACAAAAAATGCATCTACTTTTAATAGATATTGTGTTAATTACATTAGTAAGCATCTAAACAATGGCAATCATTAAACGGCCCTTGTTTAGATCCTATAAGAAGCCGATGCTCAGATGAACCAGACATGATTAAGAATAGATTACTAATGAGACGTCATCTAATCATCGTGCGCAAGAATTTTAGGTAGGTCTTATCGGTACAGCAAATATTGTAGAAATCCTTTCACGGCTTTGTACAGGCAGCTTTTATACCTATCAGTCGACGGCCACACATTTACGACGAGTACTGCGCAAAGCAAAGCAATATACAATGGTGTGGACCAGTTTTATCCCGTATGATGGAACAATCTGTACGTAAACCGATATCTGTACAGAAAATGTTGGTGTCATGTATGTATATACCCAACTTGATTATACATTATGTGGCCCGATTTCGAGTACAAACTAACAAAAATTGTTACTACGAAGAACAAAATGTCTACAAGCAGCGTGACAACAGCTGATATACGAATGATGTGAATGTTAGCGCTCTTCGTCCATCTAATAAACAGCTGAATATTCTTGCATGTCTTTGTCGGCGACGAACCCCCGCTGCGAAAACCCCCAAGTAAAGCGCATGTTGCATAAAATTTCCCAATTCAAAAGACCACAGCACCATGTTTATATCAATATTAAAATATCGAGTCTCAATTTCGCTGCGGTGCGGTTTAGCATTTCTTCAGTCGACTGGTCTTTGTGAGCATGAAATGAAAGATGTCTACGCACCGTTGCGAACTTGAACCACCTTGTACGTCCCAAAGTTTAATAGATAAATCTATCACTATCGTGCCATCATATTAAATCGACACTCGTATGCTCGATGCAAACACAGTTGTGAAATTCAATTATACGGCTATATAACCGCATGCTTCCCCGTTACAGGGGAAAGGGTTGTGGTAATGAACCATAATATTTGCTAAGGACATAATAAGGGCGCCTAATGAAGTATCATCGCGTTTTTCTGCCCACAGCGTAAAAGCTACAACCGGACAGATTAGCTTGGTCAGGTTAAACGCACGACATGTGTATATAATACAGCTGCAATAACAGTAACAGCGGTAACAGTACCACTAGCAGAAAAACAAATAAAGTGGGCGGGAGTATATAAGTTATTCAGGGTTGTATAAGCGGTATCGACGCCAGCTAAAACGCATTGCGAATACCAATCGGCGAGTTTGACTGTGTTAAAGGCAGGAGGGCCGCCTATTCCCTGCGTAAGAAAAATAGTCACCAATAATAACTACAGTGGAACCGGTAATGGCATACATGTGACAACAAACTTTTTTTTTCAACAACAAGATTTGTTTTCTGCTAGCGGAGGCTTCCCTGTTTTGTACTTGCGGAGACGACTTGAAGAAAGAGTAGGCATTCTATAAAGAGCCTGAAATACAAACAGAATTGTCACACTTCGAAAAACTGTTGTACCGTTCGAGGTTAAGAGCGGATAAGGTTAGACTTGATGTCCTATCCGTATTTGGTGCAAGAAGACTTTGAACTACTTCTCGACGTCTGCGGTGTGATAACGTTGATGCACGCATATCATCGCCATTATTATATGAAACAAATTTGCATTCAACGTTACACGTGATCTTTTATTTATTTAATTTAGGAAACGATTAGGGTTCTAATAGAACGAGAAACATTAATCCTTTCGTCATGTTATCTTTCAAATAAAGTAATTGCATTGGCACGTGAGGAACGAGTTAGCTGAAAAAAACCAAGATAAAACTAACTGAAATCTTTGCAAATAAAAATAGCTCAAACAAACACGTTCATAATCAGGAAATAATATCTATACCTGCCAGTGCTATATAGTCCCTGTCTGAAAAGTTCAAATAAATTTTCCACTATTCCAACCTTTATAGTCTTTCCTCGTCAAAAAAATACCACGCTATTCTACACCCAAACGATGCCAACGGCAATTACGGTTCGCAGTTGTTTCACTTACTTCCATGCATTAAGTGCATTTAAAAATGGGTCCATAAAAAAGCAGGACCGTAAGATTTACTGGTTAGCATCACAAGGCCTGTCGGACTGACTACGTCGACTCCTAGTGCGACCAAAATCGAGATATGTGCACCAAGAATGCCCTGTATATATTCTTTTTATACTCCATTATCATATGGTGTTATGCATGGACGTGCATTTGTTGCTTGAACTGATCAAGGTGAAACACGTTTCCTCAACACGACAATCAGTGGAAGAAGTAGAACGCCTACAAATAAAAACAGGAATCTCTTCCGTTCCTTTTCATCTCCTCGATGGAGCATCTATTGAGTCCGCTGACCGAGTCTGTTACAGTTGCTTCTGCTACTACTCGTCTCGTTCTTTCTGATACCATAACTATAGGCGACACGGCTACGTTACACAGAGAAGCAACGGCGGTGGCGCGAGAACAGCTGGCAAGCCAATACACGAGGCGTCTTATTTTTTCTATTTCATTTTCTGCTGGTTGCAACGACTAACCATGAATCCGCAAACTGCATATGTACGCGCGCACGAACAAGATCCTTGATCCAGATGTAACGCCGAGGCTGCTGGCAATATTCACGGGCTAAACTGGCAGTGTTGTCTGCTGCTCTTTTATATCGATGACGGTGCCGCGTGCTCCGCTCTGCTCCATTAAATGGAATACTGAGCAGAAGCATTGCCATTTAGTAAGCAATAACGACAGTAATGACGAGGATAATAATAACAACGACAACGACGATGACGATCAAGAGGGTGGCCGTAACAACAACGGGATCAAAAGAGCTCGCGAACTGCAGTTCATGAGCGTCATACTAAACAAAAATATAACAACGACAAGATAACTCTGTACCACAGAAGCAACGCGTCAACAATACAGCGCTCTATAGATCAATAGAGCAAACTGTTACTTTCGACCAAAACGCGAATTCACTTACACATGGTTCCGACCTCAGCGGCGTGGACACGGCTACAACTAATATTATTAATAAATGACGATATGAGGACAATGAGCTGAAAGCGACTCAACCAGCCGAGGAAGCGGCAGCAGCAGCAAACAACAGGCAATGACCATAGTCGAACCGCTCGCCACTTGCGACAAGATGCTGCTGATTCCATTGCACTTACCACAGCCAACTAATCAATACATATATATACATACGCCTGATAACCGCAGAATACGTTTCGGTGCAAATATGACCGATTGTCTGCATGCAAATGATTCGAACCATTTTTTAGTGATATCAGTTATGCGTTATCTATATATAGCTGTACAGACTACATGCACAAGTTCATATGATTTACTTTATTCATAAAAACTTTTTTCTACTTCACTCAGTGCATTCAATTATATATATGTATATGGGTGTATCGCAAGGCTTGAATCAATGGTAACTGATATTTTAGGCCGGGCACTTTGCTTGTATCTGATATATTCACACGTAAAGCAGGTCCCAGATAAATCTATTAATAATGTCGTTATATATAAAAGCAGAATTATGTGCTACTGAAAGCCATACTCATTCTAAGACAAAATGGGTTACATAATTTCTGTAAGGCTTGCTGAGCAGTAGACTACGCTGTACGAACGCTGCTATGCATAATTTCGTGCTGGACCTACTAGAATTAAGAGTAGTAATCAGGTCCAATTTGCATGACTAGAAGTGGATTTTTTCGAGTGAAGGCCACATTAATAATCTGAGTCAATATAGAGACGCCAGAAATACTTTGAGCACTCACTCTAGACGGTCCCGCGCTGCCTTTGCGTAATTTCACATGTGACTACCTAATCAAGCTAATGGACAACTGCGATAGAATATGACTGAATCCAACAAACGATATTTAGTTAAAAGTAAAAATGGGTGCATTTTTCAAAAAGAAATCTATTACTGCACGAGCTGAATCATTTAACTTTACCTTACAAATGAAAATTTTACACACAGGCATATGAAACTGCGTTCCAACTTCTATATTCATTATAATACTAGCTAATGACTTACAATCAAAGCTACATAACGTAATTAACAACACCCTAAGTTTTTGGCCTGCAGTTCCATCAAATTGCAAACTATGTATGAAAAATGTATTGAAAAAGTCATCCAGGATATGACCTAGGCTTAGGCATGTGTTAATCTCATGGCATTTGCACAAGTTTGCGTTCACCGGTGTTTGACCGCAATGCACTGCAAAGCCGTCAATCGCAAAATGTTGATGAAAATTATATACCGAATATGTTAGTTGGCTTTGATCTATGTATTTTTGTATTTATCTTCAACATCAGTCAGGTTGTATGAATTGTACGCATTAGACAGTAACAGTATTGCTACATTAGCAAGAAACAACCATGCATAGAGAGATTATTAATAATTAAATAAAAAAGAATCTGTAAATTCAGCTATGTAAATAACTTGGACACAGATTTCTTGTGCAACATTTACAGGATTCTGGCGACGTTGTAAAATTGTTAGCATCGAAACCGATATAAAAATGATAGTCCCGAATCAAAAATCTAGACTAGCGAGACGATGTACAAAACAAGATGTTCCAGTTGTACGCCTATTCCAAAATCTCCATCTAACAGCATAGAGAATCCGCAAAAAAAAATTTCTCTATTTTTAAAAATGTTCAAGTTTTCAAACTTTTACTAACCATAGAAGAGCATGACCTCTACCCTTAGACAGACTTTTCTCAGTTCTTTATTGAGGTTCGTCAATATTCGTGCTGGCACTTAGTCTACGTACCTTACTTTTTCAAAATTGCTAATGTCCATTTTGGGCCTTACGGCAATCGGGTAATACTAGTTTGAAAAGCCACTTCGGACACGATAGATCCAAATGACTTGCCCCTTCGTATCCCGTTAGCGGGTCACAACCTTCATCTATTAGCAGATCGATTTCGAAACAGTTCTGTCCGTCCCGGACGACCTAAACGATTTTGAGTTTAGCACACTAAACTCGAAATCCACTAGGTCCCATACGTCCGTCAGCAAGCCGTTCTTGCGCCGCAGTAATACCTGTCCACTAAGGAGTTGCACATGAGACGAGACATCGCAAACAAATAAGGGTTAGCCTAATTGTGTCCAAAGCCTGGCCGTATCATATTGTTTCATACTGGCTTAATTCTCAAAGCATTGCCTTTAGCCACTTCCAGGGATTTGGATATATAGGCATTTCAATTGCACGTATCGCTAATTCGTCAACAGGGTATATTGGTATCAATTTTTCTTTTTTTCTTTTGTTATTATTATTTACTTCAAGTAGACAAGGAGAAATTTCCTAGTAAACTACTATAAAAACCCCAACTATATTGTTCATTAAAAGTCTCACACAGACAAAAATGGAGTAACATTCTGCTATGCTTGCAGAACTCAAACAAACAAACTAAAATGTCTCTTCGAGATACCTGGCCGTTCCATCAAGCGAGCAATCTAAAGAAATTAAAAGCGCTAGGAACAAATAAAAGATTTGCTCGTACAGACAAATTCCTGATGACTAATTAACGTTAGTAATTTGCCTCTCTGAATCTATCCATCCAAACATTTACTGTCCGCTCCGAAAGGCGAGATATTTAAGTACCATATAGATCAGAGAACAAAAATAGAAGGAGTGATTGATGCTTCGAACAGCAAGAGATCCACACGGCCTACTCCAGTAGGCCATGGAATGAAAGCGAAGAATCGCAAATTGAGCAAAATCTGGCGTATGCTGATCTCCCCACTAATGAGAAATAATTAGATAGACAGTCCTCGTGCAACGATGTAGAGGTAGAAGCGATGTTGCTAGTGTACTGCATTCGATTTTCTTGGGTGCGCTATCATAACATGTGTAAGTATCCCTGTTATACCCATACTGTTGACATAGCGCTTCACCACACAGAAGTATGCGCTGTATATGAAAATAAAACAGGCATACCACCCGTGAAATATAGGCTATCGCTGTTCGACTGTTACGCTGATGTACGCAAGTAGCGGAAACATACGGGAAGAAAAAGCCGCTGACCGAGTATAAGACAAAAAAAAAATAGGGAAATGCACTGTGGCACAAGGAATAAGGTTCGTGCGCGAAACAGAAAACTCAACCACCCAAGTGAGTTGCTGACCACTGCCAACTCGATCAATAGAAGACTATTTCAACCGTCTGATCTCAAGAGATATCGCAGAGCTTGGCGCTTAGAACTCGCAAGGTTAACGCGGCAGATCGCGTTTAGTGAACAACGGACGTCCCGCTTAAGAAAATAATAAGCAAGACATATGTATCGCCATATTATAATATAGGGTGAGTAAGGCTACGCCGCACGCTAAAAGGGAAAAAGACGACGCGCATATCTGGATAGACATAGGTCAACCAAGATCTGTCTGAATATAAGAAGCAGGTGTCAACGACACTCAGCCTCTGACTCAAAAATGTTAGCCTAGGTTTAGGACTACTAGCACAAGCAAGATGTTTACTAAAAATACTAGCTAAGAACACTAGAAGTTTTCTCTTAGTGTATTTGTATGATATATAAAAAATGGAATGTACACATAAGTGGCAGGACTATCAAACAAATAGTTCGATACAGAGTCTGTAAACAGCAAAAACAGTGATTATAAACACCTATTCCTAAGTATTTGATCCTTGTTCACCAGTTAAATATGGCAATGTAGTTAGAAATGATGATCAGCATCATGAACCACACCGGCGCGTATATGGCAGCTTGTTGTGGCTTAACTGGCAACGGTCTTGTTACGATCTAGCAAAGAAGTCGCACGTAATTTTCCAGCTGGCCATAATTGCGAATCGTGTTCGTTCTGTGTCCTGCATTCATAATGTTTCTATATTACGATACTACGACAAGTTATTTAATCAGTTCGTTTCATTGCGGAGCAGGCCACAACCAAGAAGAATAGATGCGAGATAAAGCAAAGATGATGATTCATGAACAGCTTTTAGGGAGCTGAAAACTGCCAGATCCGTGGGAGCATCTACACTATACTGTCGCCACTGGCAACGCCATTATCCTCGCTCATGGCACAATACAAGACCGACCCATAAACCGTGCAAGAAAACAGCAAACTGATACAAACAGACCGACCGTCTATAGACAGAAGCAACGCAACAGCAAAAATCATCTACACTCACGCTTTATCCTATTTAGGAGACAGGTCTGTATCGTAGCAGCCATTGGATATATTGGAAGAGACAACTCGCCTCGTCGTCTTTTCTACCCGTTTTTGTTCTAGTTCTAATCTAGTCATTATGCTAATAGCCGTTGTCATAACACTATATATACATACATTGTACTATGACAGCATTATGACTCTACTCGACCTATTATCCACTGTCGAAGGAAGGAGTTCAGTCGTCGCAGACACACAACAAAAAGTCGCATCAGCTGTATAGAATGAGAAAGCTGTTACAATAGTATAGTGTCGCAGGGTGATGAACATAGCAAGTGTGGGAAAGCGTCAATATGAAAAAGAGAACCATAAACTAATATTATATACCTTCAGTAAATATATCAATAAATCAATGAAACATTTCGTGTACGGACGCCGTCATTACCATTGTGTCGCTGATAGCTGTACGTCTGAGCGCTAAATATATTAATGTAGATAGCACTCCCCGCGACGCACTCTGCAATATAGTTTGCTGCTTAGCGACAGTTCAAAAGGATTAACCCTTTATTAAATGACAGCGTCTGTCTATTCTCTACCAAATAAATACTATCAATCGACAGAGCAGTGGAACCTGACAGTGATAACGTCGTAGCATTTAGCGTTATGCGTATTAAATACATTCGTACTGCACGCCCAAGTACCCATGTGTGGTCCTGCATAACGACATGTAGAGAGCCCTGCACTCAACACTGCGTCCAATGTCATCCAGGAATATATAATGCATTCATTCCAACAAGTTCAGATCGTAAATTCAAAAAGAAGACCCGCAATAAGGATAATCGCACGTTCACCACGTGCGTACATAAGCAAAATCAGGGAAACCGCTTACCTGGGGTGACACTAGCGGAAGCTGAGCCGATGTTTGAAAAGAATTCCTTATCCCACACGAATCTCAGGAAGTCGACAGTAATAGAACTGTTTACGAAGAGGAGACGCGACGGACAACGATTACCGCCACCTCTCAATCTCTACATCTCTGTTTGGATTTCTTCTGATCGGCGTCAACGTGCAAAGAGCACAACAGTTTTAGCTAGAGATGTTTCGCAACGCTCGTTCTTCTTTGCTTCCGAAACGCAGTCGCCTAAAGTGTGGTGTTCGTCAAAAGCCCATAGATAAGCATGAACTATTCATTTTATAGCGCTGTCTTCAAACGTGAAATGGTTTGAACCGCGAGCGACCTCACACCCACACATTTCACGCTGACAGCAGGAAATTCTCCTGCACCACGATGATGGAGTCGCAGAGAGTATGCTACTATGGCTTCTGCACGCGCTTGTACCGTTTCTTGTCGCCTCCGATGTTGTCACTCTGGTCCAAATACAACAGCATTTCAACGCGGCAGTAGTAGCAATAAATCAATTTCCGTGACCGACATGCAGCGCAGAGCTACGGTTATCTATGTACCCGAACCAATAATTAGTCGCAATAATGATAGCGGAGGGTCTTCGAAGAATGCACGCAAACATTCACGATGTTGGTATTCCGATGGAGTCACACGTAACTATCACACACTCACATAAAGGATGCATTCGCGAAAGAGCGAATCGCTTTGCGATTTAGACAGTGTTTATCCAGCCGTCTTCTCGCGAATTTGAAGAGGTGTGTGGTGCCCCCAACACCTCAGCAGGACATCACATCTCTCGCAGGCTGGACTATTCGCTCATACATAGGGAAACCTTAGTCGTAACTGCTCCCCTGTGATCAACAACCGCACCAGGCTGGCAGGGACGGAGGTTAGCAGCCCATAGGAGCCGTACTTAGAGTAAACGTACTCACTCCGGTACCCCACCACCCCACCCCATCCCCTCCCCCAGTCAGCAAGCGAACTGAACCGCACACGAGAAATCCCTCAGGCAGTCAGAGATGTAAAACAACTATTGTACAGAGTGCAATAGAGGCAGAGTCGCCGCGCCACTCTAACAAGTAAAGTAACGGCGCCCGTCTTATTCACCAGACCGAACCGACTAATCCGTCAAACAGGCGCCGATTCGACGCTAAAAAAGACGACGAACACATCGAGCGCTGGAGCTCCAATCTACTTGTTTTTTTTTTTTCACTGCTGCTGCGGCGGCTGATATCGGTTCAACTACACGAACTAAGAACAGCTCATTAGCTGGGTGGTTTGTCTGCCTGCTGTAAGTTCGTAGTGATCGGTCGGGAGGCGTCCAGTCAACACTTAAGTTGCACAGTCTGCTTTTTGCCAGTGCTGCCACTGGCGCAGATTTTTGTCGTGATCTGTTCCCGTCGTCCGTTTCGGTGCTGTGTCTTTAGGAGTGCCTCGCCGCCGAATCACTACGAGAGTCGACAAAATACAGAGCAGCAGTATTAGCAGCAGACCCAAACACGCAGAAACTTCCACAGCACCGACAGCGGTCGCAAGGCCGACAGGTAAACGAAGACAGACAGACAGACAGACAGACAGACAGAGAGCTATTCGTCGTTTGTACACAGCCCCCTGGCGGAGTGGATGGAGCCACCAACAGCATCACCACCTACTAATTCGACTACTCTACGATTACGTAGCGCAAGAAACCCGAGCACGGCACTTTGTTTCTCTCGCTTTCTTTCCGTCCTAGCTCACTCCGACGACGACATGTTTCTTCGTGGTACTGCGGCGGCGGCAGCGGCCGACTGTTTCTGCTACAGCAGCAGACGAAAACGACGTTCAAAACAACGATGGTCTCATCCAGACGCAGCACGAATGGGAGAGAGGAATAGAGTGTCGAGGCATGGCGAGTACAGTGGAAGCAAACATTGGCGTAGGCGAGCACAGCACCATTATGAGATGATCTTTGCTGACACAATTACCGGAAAGGAAGGGGCGTTAGTTCTAAACGTTTAAAGTAATAACGTAGTAGCGAATAAACGTGAAATGATGATGCGTTGAGATAGATTTGTTCGTTTTTTTCTTGTTTACATTCATTTGAACGAGTAACTGCTATGTAAAATCTACATATTAATTGGGAGTCATTGACTTACGCTCGATTTTTAGTATGGCTTCAATAATAATAGTAATGTCTTCGAGTTGATTCAGTGTCTAACGAGCGATGTCCGGATCGTTATAATTAACAAGTGTAAATAATTTTCCCCGTAGAGAAAAGATTGAAATTATTCGATATAGTAAAGAGGATATACTATAATACTGCTCATTTCATATATTTTACCCTGTGTAGTTCCATATAATAATAATCTCAACAATATTCAATTTCATCCTTTTCTTGTCTGTGTGCTCTAAATATTTTCGGTAGTTGAAAAGTAGAAGGGTCTTATTACCATCATAGCACAACGGCCTATACCACGTTTTATCTTAAGTAAAGTCCAGGCCATCGTTCAACACAAGCAAAATTTAACGTCATTTAAATTAGTAGAATGTTAAAAACATTTTTGTTGTAAGAATTATAATATAATTTTTTATACTTATTATTTTGAAATACGATATGAACATTTGAGTAAAGTCAAAGATTTATTTTTCCGTTAATTACAATATATTAAGATTTTATAGAAATAAAAATGGTCCTAAACATTACCTTTATTTTAATCGTCATTTATTAAGAATTAATATTTAATTATATGGTTACTGCTTATGATTAAGCTATTGACAAAACTCTTCTATAAAAGAGTCAGTCACGGCCAGTAATCAACGAATGATTTCACAGGGTGGGACATATCCTCCGAATTTCATTTCCAGCTTCTGCGCAAAGGCTAGGGTCAGGCGATCGTTGCTGTGTCCAGCAATTATCTGTAAGTGTAAAAATAATGAAGACATTAGTCGCCACACTATCGCGGTAATGTCTTTTCTTCCGGACATCCGCCATATAGGACCGGGTTTAAGAAAAATTATGAAATGTGTGAGTCTAAAATCGCCTTGAATAATCAAAAACATAATATAACCTAAGCTTGCATGCTTTCAAGCTCGTACTAGTCCAATCGTATCATCAAACAACTGCTCAACTTGGAATTGGCACGAAATAAATACCAGAATAGTTAAGTTACTTCGTTAAAGAAAAGTTACTTAAGAACGTAAGCCTGCAATAATGACGCTCTAGAGATCGGATCATTATCACACCGACGTGTCTGATAGCCGTCTGCTAATATTACAGTATCTACGAAGAAATAAGGAACTGTGTCGATTTCTGATATGCGGGATCAAGTTTTACTGTCATCAGACCGTTCAGTCTGATATGTTTCAACTTTGCAGCAAACACGAACCTGTACTGAGAGCGGTATGCCCCGAGAACTGAGTCCCATAGGAACCACTGTGCTGGGAAGTTTCAAGATGTTGATGAGTCCCGCCAGGCCGAGATACAATGCAGGATGACACAGTGTCTAGAAAGATGAAGGCAGCAAACGCGGAATCGTGTTAATCATGCCCAGCGCTGTAATATTAAGAATACTATCTGAAGTTGTAAATAATTCGAAATTAGAAATCTTTTCCGTTACCCAAACATTTTTAGGCCATCCTTGATGGCCTTACAGGCCTACATAGGATTTTTGACCGTTTTACAATTTGACTACTGAAACGCTTTATCGGTCATTTTCACTAAAAGTTCTATGGGTTTTTAATGACTCTTCATGCCACCAAAAATAATTTTTACGAGATGATCACTATAGTAGTAACGACATAGTAGTAATGATCTCGTAAAAAAATGAGTATTCGTGTTAGATTTCTTAATTAACTTATCAGCATTTTGTTAAGTTCAAAGGGTAAGTAGGTAACTTATATTTAACAAAATAAAGCTCTAACCAAACACTGAAATCAGCGTTCGGTTTGTTTCTTGACTCTACCGTTTATTTCATATCGCTTCGGACATATTGGTCGCGACAATTTAAGTTAATTTGCTAATGCTAATAATGTATCTGATCCATCCCAAAGTAATGCAAGTAATGTTATTACAATATAAGGCTATATCCTGTCAAAGAACAGAACTAACTTGAAAATTGCATACCCCGTGGTGAAATGGTGCTACCGATAGGCTGGATGGAAGAACGAGAATACCATCATTTTTCAAGAGATCGTAAATCCGTTTTTTGAATTCTTCGAACTGCTCTAAATCTGTTCGACATTTGTCGGGGTTATTCCGATACATTTCATCGAGCAAACTTATAGTTATACCGGGGATGGTCCGTTCGGAAAAGCCTCCTGCATGTTTTATCAATTCCATAATTGGGTCCCATGCGTTTCCGTGCTCATCGAAGCTAAATTTAAGCGGAGGAGCACCGTAAGCAGCGAACTGAGCAAGCCAGTAGTAAGAACCTCGGATCATCTGCTCTGCATCTGGAAATGGCTTAATCTGCGACAAAAAATTTCATTTATGTCCATTTCTATATATTATCGTTAAGAAAAGATACAAATAGGTGCGCGTTTGAATGAGATTTGTTGTAACAATCCAGGAATGGATTATGAATCAACATTTTCATGCAGGACTCCACTGATATTAGTGTTGTTGTTCTTAATTTAGGTAACATGATTTCTAGGTAAAGGTCAATTACGTTGCAGACAAGTCCCTTGCAGCCCTTTCAACTTAGCAACGACAACAACAAAACATTAATGATTAACACGCGTACATGAGAACCACAATCAAGCAAAGATTTAGCTCTTTCAGAAATATCTAAAGTAATGCATCACTCTAGATTTTCTACGATACTTCCACTGCTTACTGGCCGTTTGCATTAGGTTATAGGAAGAATAAAACAGACAGGAGCTACATTACATAAGATGGCTCCAACGCTACGTTGAAAATGATTTTATCTCTTCTTCGAAATATTCACAATGCATTCATTTGTGGCTAATCGTACCTCGGCATTAAGGTCGTTTTTGATAAAGTTTACAACCCGATGGACCTGTAGGCGAACCTCAGGCTGAATCGCAGAAATATAAGAGGCCCCCTCGTTGTCGCAGAAGTAATATTTGAGCTCACGGAGTTCGACTGGCTCATCGAGTCTTAGAGCTGCAGGATCATCTACCATAATTTTTAACATAGCTACTAAATCCTCCGTAGACCGTGCCATTGGTCCTATAATTCCAATGAGGGATTTTATTTCTTGGCCCGTCGCAGGCAGCACCTGTAAGAAACACATCGGTCCACTAGTAATCGACCAAAGAGAGCTTCAGCTCCTTATTATGCACTTAGAATGAGATGGACTTTATTAGAATTCATGCTTGATGAACGTTTGATCTATCGTGAATAGGCAAAAGCTAACAATTTGCTCGTGGAAATCATATTTATTAGATTAGCACTAAAATCGTTACAAATGGATAGAAGCGATCATCTAACAATCACAATCGCTGAAAAACTTCACTAACTCCTTCACGCGTAAGGCACCCTGGGGTGAGCTTATGACCGAAAATACCGCACCACGCCGATGGGAGGCGGACCGAACCTGCAATATCCGTACCAACGCCCCAAACTGATGCACAGGCCCCTACCAGGGCACCCTCACCACCGCTGCTGCCACCAGGGGTCCTGCATAATTTTAACGTGGTGGAAAACTGTTATATAGTGATCTACGAGCATTTTTTGTTTGTTCCTCCGTGAACTGCCGACTTATAAGCCTACTGATAGCTTAAATATGGTTGCTTCGTAGGAAATAATCTACCGAATTATCTGTAGAAAGCTTTGCCTGAGTTGCAGGCTGCATCGCTTTCTTTTGCCTCTGCATACATTTGCATAGATCTAACTAACATGCAAAAAGAAGCATATGCATAATGCGACAAAGTTAGCTACATGATTAATTAAACGAAATGTAGGTCTTAGTTCGTAAATGAACTAATTCTGCTCGTCTAGATTACGTTGCTAGGAGATTTCCATCCACTATACGTAATACCTATGTATCTATGCATTACGAACCTGTGCAAATCATAAGGGTTGTTGGTGCGACCATAAAGGTGATTCCCGTTTTCGACCCAAAGACACATCTCAGGTACGTTCGAAATAGCCAAAGGTATTCCACCTGCGGTTAGCATGCGGGCAACGCAGACGGCGTTCTTTTTTGCGCGGACACCGCGACGTGTTTTGCTACCGCAGGTCGCTAGCATTCCTGTAAATTAGCGACATCGAATAAATATTACCATTAATGACCTGCGCTCTTGTATTTTCGTTTGTGGGCTAACTTCGATTTCACTACACAATACAAGTTCTATTAAAACCATTTGTTTACCACTAGATATAATTCGTTGAAGATCAGCTTCAAGTTGTTTAGGTCTACCTTGAACACTAATGGAATCTTTGACCGTAAAAGGGACGCCAAGGAAGGGTTTCTTGTTGGCAAGTTCCTCGACGTCCGTACAGGCTGCCAGCTCTTTATCGGCCTGACGCGCGTCATCAAGGGCGGCCTCGAAACGATCTTCAACAACTGCATGAAGAAGGGGGTCGACCTCACGGATACGGGCAATCACTGCGTTGACCAGTTGTTCCGACGTTAACTAAAGTGACATATGTACTCTGTTATATCAATACCCTTGTGAATGTTTTGAAAAACTAAAAGGGAACGACGTTCGAAAAAGCATAATATCATTATGCTTTTTATCTCTTTATAAAGCGTCTCTGATAGAGACGCTTTATGCAAAGGAGCACGTATGTATATTTGCAAAACAGACGTTAGTCAGTGAATGCAGTGATCAGAAATTAATATATACCTTAAAATTAAACTGATTAAGGGAAGTGTTTGAAGCACGTACGGGCGACTTCATAGAGGCGGCAGAACTTCCTTTATTTTTAATTAACGTTACACAATTGGTTTTTCATTCGTATGTAAAGACGAGTAGTTCAAGTTTTTGCGTACCTTCATTCTATTTGGATATAAAACCCTTAGTGCCATAGAGAATCCCTAATTTCTGATTCTGGTTTATCGAGTCTAACACGGGGCACAATACACGTAAAGCCCAGTTCCCATCCACTTTTTATAATCCGCTTCCTTATATAGAAAGATAAAGTGGTTGAAATGCTATTAAACACTGCTAACTTGTTGTTTAACAGTATTGTTCGTCAAAATACTTAAAGTCACATAATTATAGGACTGACTATGTTACGGTTCATCAAATATACAAATAGTCCATTTAAGTCATCATGTAGATTGAGGTTACTTATTCTTGAATTGGTTCCATATAGAAGTAGATACGTGTCGTTAAGCTTTGCTCGAATGGAGTCCATGCAAGTAAAGTAGATGATCTCTAGACTGTATATGCCGTCTCGTGTTGGCCTAGCGCGTATGCCACTTGGTCGAGCCTCGGTAATTATTGGCCGGTTTATTGCGGTCGTAATACGTCCCAGTTTGTTCTATCTAAAAATACCTTATGGGTACGGCTTGTTTGTTCGTTCTGTTGCAGGCAAATAAAAAAAAAACAAACAACTTCTACTGTCCTGCTAAAACTGTGCCCAGCGTATTACACAAACCTCTTAGCGTTATGACTATATCAATAAGAACAGTAGTAATATTGTTTCTAGCGATGTTTTCCTTAATGCATAACTTGTTTTTTCCACGGCTAGACACTCACTTATGCACAGCTCTTGTTTCTGTGCCTACCTTCTTTTCGCGAATCATCCTAGCTAGTTTCGTTGCCGAATAGGATAGAAATTCGCTCCGAATTGGTGGAAGCCGCCGCCGACCATCGCGAAATCCTTGATGCCACAAATACTTGACGGTGTCGTAGATTCGGATAGTGGCGAACGTAAGTAGCTCACTCAAGAAATGAAAGACGCGTAGCCACATTGCCATCGTGAGACTGAGAAACTGGCGAACGTGTTTTGTTATCCAGGGCATAGCAAACATCTCTATGGAGCACTCTCGCCTGTTGAACTAGATAAATGGTCTATTTGGTGAACAAGATGGCGTTAGTTATCGACTCTGTAACATTGTTCCTGTCAGGTGAAAATTCCTAGACGCCACTTAGCAGCTTAGATTACTCTCCATAAAGCTGGCTTCAGTTTTGCCCTGCTGTGGACGGCTGTATTCGGCTACGGTAATTCTGAAATGTCATGCAATCCGCCTTTTGTCGACTAAAAATATTAGTGACAAGGTAGCGGAACGCCTATCGCAATTGCAGCGTTCGCCAATAAATAAATGAGTGAGTAAATAAACAACTGTTGACATGTTTAGTTCGAGGTAGCTTTTTTACGGTAAATTACGAAGTGGAGTTGTTGATGACAAAAAACTGGCGTCTACTCTTCGCGCTGTTCATAAGCATGTGCTTCGCCAGTCTTCTAAATAGTCGTTCATACTCTTGCAACCCAATCAACAATTCTGATTTTTGATGCTATGTATTATATACATCATTATTTATATACATCATGTATTATAGTTCGCTACATTGTGCGATTTAGCCTATGCTCCTGTAGCCAAAAATCTTACTATATAATAAACAAAGATCAAATTTATTTTTCCTTATAAATCCTTTTGCTGATTTCAATGCAGTACGATAGTCTGACTCATGAGATTATTTAATGGAACTCGTTTCTGTTTTTTATATCTATTTCAGAGCTACAAGCGTGTTTCCTCCTCTGTGATATAATCCTTAAGACTATTATATGGCTCCCTTTGAGCGATGATGTACCATAAATATCGCAGTAATAATTCCTTTGCGTGAATCAACAACTAGACACGTCAAGCGACCTTTATCCAGTGGATCTAAAACATTTATCATGAAAACATTAGGTCTACTTTTTTTTACAAGTGTTTGCTCTTAGTTCTTTTGTAGATGGAGATCACATACTAAATACTAGAGTATATGAGTAGCATATTACGCCTACCTATCTATAACTATCAACATCTTTTTCAGCGTAACAGAAGAGTAGTAAATAGGCTTGCGTGTCGAATAAAGAAAACATGAGAATATAAAAAAAAACACATTTTAGTAAGTTCGGTAACTGAAGGCTAGAAGCTATAGTTAATTAACTAAAGTTAATAGGTACAAGTAGGCAAAATGAAAATCAAATACCAGAAATAGAGACAGGGAATAGTTAGAGTCCGTATCGCATGTTTGCTCCTCTGAGGCAAATGTCTTTATTACCAAGGCGTCTTGCAATTCTCCGGTCAGTAGAACTGAAAACCAATATAATAATGGAAATATTTTTTTTAAGTTACCAACAGTTTAATGGGCTGGACTGGACTTGAGATTTCTCAATGTAACGATATTTGCTTTGTGCTAAACATACCGGAAAAAAACGAGAGACAAACATAATGAAACAGATACGAAGTACGAGTAAACTCGCCGAAACTTTATAGATAGATGCATATTGTGTTCTATCCATTACGTAGTATGTAATTGGTTAACGCAGCAGTTAGCTTCCATTACTTATATGTCGGAGATATATTTTAGGTTCAGCTTGACACTGATTCATTGTTTTACTTCTGTCATTCTCCATAATTGCCGTTGCAATTTTTACTGTGATTAGGACGTAGTTGAAATACTTGCTCTAGGAGAGGATCGTCCTTAAGGGGGCAAGCCTTTAGTCAACACAAGGCAAACGGAAATGAATTTTATTCTGGATTTATGCATCTGGTCTTGTTGAAAGATTTTGAAAGGACAATTAATAATCTGATAGACATGGCAAAATTGAATAAAGAGTAGTGCTATATTTCGGGCTTATAATTTTGCGTAAATTTCATGATCATGTGACTACGGTCGCATGCGATATACAATTTTCGAACAATTTATATTGAAAAAAAAAACGTAACTAAACTCTTTCATCCTGCCCATTCGTAATGTACGACTACCTCTCTGTTTATTTCTATGGAACAGTCACCATCAGGCTGCTCTGCAGTCGGTGGTCGACTAGCTGACGGAGTTGACTGACCTGTTGCTGCGTATAGTCTCGACGTATGAACTTCAGTAAAAGCTTCACTAACTTTACAACGTACATTATTTAAATATAACACAATTAGTTTGAGCATCAAGTGTCACATGAACAAAAGTGGAGCTTCGATCACGAATTTTGAACAGAAATACGCCGATTTTTAAGTAACGCCATGGTCAGCCAGCAACCGATTACCATATGTTTTTTTCTCCGAGATATGACCGCATAGCGTTAAAGAAATTGAGTTTTTGCTAACTTCATTCGGCTTTTTCCTATTGACGTTATATGTTATAGTATATGCACAATGGTACCTGCTTCTGTCGCTAGGTAGAGCCACCTATGTCGCTAAACGGGACACATTTAATAGTAAACGAATAGCTGCTGCAAATTTTAAGAAGCGTTGGCAGGCCAAAAGTAAACATATAGTAAAAGGAACGCGTATAATGTATTTGGAATTGAAAGTAAGGTTTATGCTAAACTTTGCATCATTTTATTAGGTGGACAAATATGCCTGAATCGAGAAGAAGTTGTGCCACTGCGTAACTAATGTTATCTGTGGCACATAGAGATTAATACAAGGAATTCCTTGGAATATATTTACCGAACTTTATTAGTCAAGTCTAGAGATTACTAGTGAAGTACAGTTTAAGTCTTCTCCACTTTCCAAAAATGTCACGCGACGAAAATAGAACGCATTGTTAAGTGTAGATTTCGGTGCGTACCAGTTGTAAAAAAAAGGTGCACGTAGTTAGGTAGCCAGCGAATCGAATGAATATGTATTCAAAATACTGTAACTTTTGAAGAAATGTACGCATTTCCCGTTTCGGAAAATTTGCTTTCAACACTTAGCGATTATTACTAATTTAGAATGGTAGACCTCGTACCATGCCGTCACCGCCAAATAACGACATTAAGCTACTGCAAGCGGTTGATTTGCTTTAGCAAATACCGAGCTCGTAATGAACGATCACACTACCCTACACCATATCGTACATACGACAGTGACAAAAGATCACGCCTTGAAATTGGATTACTACATACGGTGCGCTTGATGATTCTTCCGAGGACAGATAAATCGTCACACACTTCATCTACAAGATTTGAAGCAGATATTCTCCCTAAAAAACCGCAAGAATAAACTTACAACAAAATTGTCGACCATCTAAAAAAGAACCATTTTAATGTTATGGGCATGTCGATATCGGTACTTGAAGATGCCGGACAGTGACGATTCTTCAAACACATTCGACGAATACACCAAAACTGTAAATAAAGTCTAAAAGTTTGCAAAGATCGTTGCCTAACATTACACCTAGCTGAAGCACCTTAGTTGGATGCGTGGCCTTAAGAAGCCAGAGGACGAGGAAGCAGTCAAGTAGCATCTGAACGATAAATGTACAATTAGATTAGGAAATGCGCAGCGTATCAGAAAATTCCTATAACTGGTAAGAAAAAAAAACGTATATACAAAAAGTCTCGTCGTTCGAAGTCGTTTGAATGTGACTACCTCAAGTTTCTCCACATCACCGCTGAAGCCATGCACGTTTTGCTAAAGGAATCAAATGGTGTCACAGGACAGGTAACACCGCGAACATTCTCGTAACCACCACACGAGTTGTCACCAACTGACAGATTTGTCACGTGCAACGGTTCACACAGACGGTTCACAGACGGTTCACTCAGCTGTGCGATAAAGCAGCGTACGCGGTCGCACGATTTTGTCTAAATAAATAGGAATAATCAGACACGTTTTGGTAGAAGAAATTACACTGTAATAATTGTGTGATGACACGTGGGGTTTTATATTGACACTAAGTGGAATGTAACAACAGTTGTGTGTAGTAGGACGGCCTGAAAACTTCAAGTGCCACTTAAATTATTTTCGACATTTTTATTTTTTTATATTATTCTATATTAATGAACATATTAAACATACATTATTTTAACCTTAAAGAACATCAGTTCGTACAAAATTAGACTACATCGGTTGTTTTCCTTTTTTTTTTTAAATGCGTTTTGTATGATAAAGTGTATAGGGGGCAGTTGGCCAGAGTATATACGCGAGACTACTCGGATCGTCCCGGTTAAAAAAGGTCTTGAATTAAGCTTGTTGGTGCTTTAGAAAATGTACAAATGCAAGGTCCAAAAATCAACATGAGTGCATGAATAACAATGAGACCTGAAAAAATATTCTCATTTTCTCTTGGCTTTTGTAAGACAACCGAAGCAGGCCAATAATTAGAATCTCCAACGCACAACCAATGAGGTTCCATAAATCTGGGCCTGCTTTATACGGAGTTGAAATTAAACCATTATAAAGGTAGAACTGCAACTTCTACACGAGTACTCTAAATAAGGAGCCTGCAACAACGTCAAAAAGAACTGAAGAGATCAGATATTGTGCTGACAATGAAATAGATCTCATATCGTTAATATATGTTTATTAATTTTAACGGCGGAAAGTATATGAGTCATATAGTCCAAATGCACATGGTTTGCCCATTGATCTAGGCAAAACGTTTTAGGAACTACTCGCGATAGATACAACGAAAAATCCTTTTTGGCCTATTAGATTAACCTTTAGCGTTAAGCGTAACGCAGCTCAATTTTAGCGAGTGATGAATCTGGTGTTAGGTGCTTTCGATGACATAAGAAGCTGTCTCATTAATTTTGTTGTCAAGGGATCCACGCATCGCCGAACGACGCATGCGTGGTAGACTGTCTGGGCTATTATTCGGGGAAGCGGATCCAATAATAAAATAAGGCTTGTAAAATTTAGCTTTCTAAAAACAAAAATGCAACATGTACCTTGTATGATGTTGGGGAAGACTAGACGGCATAACTTGGCTACCATCAAAAGTACTCTTAACTCGTCACAATCCAAAGCTTCCAATTGAAATGGCTGTACGACGATGGTTACAATCGGAACGGACCCATAACTAAATGCATGGTTCTCTCGTATATATAGGAGGCGGTACATGACTGAATCGACTACTTATTATCACGGAGAAAAGCTACGCAGAGAGAAAAAAATAGCTTTGGTAACTGTTTTTTTCATATATTATGAATACATACGCGATTATAGATTGATACTGTTATCCGTTTACGGATAGCTCCTTGCTATTTTTAAGAGTGCGAAAGAAACGCCTGTACATAACAAAACACAGCTTAAACAACGGCCCATAATTTTACTCAGTCATGACATCAATATAAGAGATACAACAATTGTAGGTGCCAGGCAAAGATATACGCTTCTAGACCTCGGTTTTAGCAAGTCGAAATTCAAGACGCCTGCATACACGGTTGTATCTAATGCAAAGGGTCTAGTAACCGATCTAGTACGCGAGATAAGAACTCACTGATAATCGTCGGTCAATCACCATCGACCAATCGATGGGATAGGAGAAGTTTCTACAACTCATACTGTATTCGGCTTATTAGAAGGAAACATAGGATTCGTTCTGTCTGTTAAGCTAAATGTAATGTAGACATCACTTCCCTAGCGATATGTTAGTAAATATGCATAGATTCAGTAAAGGCTGCTTCACTCAGCGATGCTAGAAAGAGAAATTTGAGAATCGTTCTGTTCGCACCCGGAATCGTTTGATTTTGCTGGCGCAATAAACAGTATGATGATCCTAGCTGGGGTAAAGTATTTCCATTCATCCATCCAAGAGCTGAACCAATATAGACCTTCGAAACACATCCGCTCCATATACTGAATACAATACGGTAGCCGTTAACAACGGAGTATAACATTTGAATTATTCAATAAAATTTTTATTTCAATAGGATTAGCATAGATAGGAACAGTAGCAGCTTTCCGAGACAGTTCAATGGAGTTAAAGGGTCTGACGATACCTCTGGGAGAATGCAGAGGACGTTAAGACGTTTGTTTGGCATTGAGGAGAATGGACGCTTAATGCTACAAACGTATTGCTTCGGTTCTGACGAGTACGGTGCAAAGCGTCATCGGAATTATTTGTGGACCGAAAATTTCGTACCAATCCACCATGAAGGAAGTGGTTCGATGTTAGCACTAACATACAAAGAATTAACGAAGCGGTGTACCGAAAAGGTGATGTTTACCAGAAGAAGAAGAAGCTTGCAAAGATACGTACATCTAAGGAAATCAACATGAATAATGGGACAAATTGCCCGCCATTTGGGACAGGCTGTATAGGAAGCCCGTGTCAAAAATTTGTTATAGAAACAACATGTAATACAACTAAAGAAGTGTACCTTTACTGGCTTTCAAGTTCATTCGAAATGAGCAGAAGACCTCGCATGACACATGTGTTGCAAGGCTGTGTTCATCTTCGCCTATCTCCGCTAAACTGAATAAACGTCCACCACTCTCAGGTACCATTAATTGCGTAATACTACGTTTTAAGCGTCAATATTATGCCTTGGTACCGATCCCGATGCTTCTTCATAGCGTAACCATTTTCTATTTGAGTTTTTCCTTTCTAGTGAGAATCCTATATAGACAAGTCTACCTTTCCTGCTGACCAAGCAGCTGAGAACAAACATCGAGGCAAGACCTTTTCAGCAGAGGTATTAGCCACTAGAGGGCGCATGCAAATAACACTAGATGCCCGAATGGCTAATTCCCATCTGCGCAGCAAATATTCTAGTTCACAAAACCGCATTTCCACTAAAGACAGTCAGCAATTTATAGACGTCTCGTTTTCTAGGAGGTCCGCAGCGTTCTTTGCATTTAAATTGAAAGCTTAACCTCCGAGCTTTTCAAATCAGTTCTGATATATTCGTTCCGATATTATATATTCGCTTCGACTTCAAACACAGTTCCTGTGACCTCAGTTGCAGTGTCAACTAGTAGAGAACGATAATGCCGAAGGGCACCTTTTTCAATCTCCACTTTTCAAGCCTCTAAAAACGAAAATGGCGATTTCGTAGAGATCAATCCGTTAATAGTACGAACAGGGTGCTACCCTTACAAAACCTTAGTACTATTCTACCCGTCAAACGCAACAATACGAATTGACTGGAGTGATATTTAAAAGTCGTCTTATTAGTGCTCCTTTCGAACTATTAGTCCAAGAAGCTTCTTGGAAGTAAGTTAACGGCTATAGATATCTAATTGAAGATACACAAAAGCAAACAGAGTATCAATCTAACTACTAACTCTAATTGAATAAAATCGCTGTTAACCGTAAGCGAAGTACATCGGATAAGGCAGCGTCCGGCACTACTCTTCAAAGCAAACAACGCCATATGATAAAATCAACATATAGTCAAAAGAGTTCACATGCTTTCCAAGCAACGATAGCAAATTAAGTTACCCAATAGTAAGAATTACACATTAAAATCTTTGATGACTCCTACAAAGTCAACACACAAAAAAGAAGCCAATTGTGACGAAATCGTTGTGACTTTAATTAATTTTATCTTTCTTGTTGTTCGACGCATCGTCGCGTTACACTTATTTAAATGTCTTCTTTTCACGGCCGCTTCATACTGTAGTTTTTCTTCAGGCTGGAAGATCAGTTATGTTTGCGCGTGCTAGATCACGCTTCGGGTTAACTTTCAGGGGTAAACACTGCTTCCACAAAATCTACTACCAAACTGGACAAGGCGGAATGAATCCTCCGAATTTCTCCTCGAGCTTCTTTGCGACGGCGAGCGTTAGTCGATCCTGGCCATAGCCAGCGACAATCTAGAAGCAATTAGATTGAAAGCACAATGAACCCAGATTTTACATTGACCTTTTTAGTGTACAATACACATATATGCAAAACGGCTCGAACTGTCTCACCTACAATCAGCATGTGCAAAACCCAGTTAGAGTAAAATTACGAACTTGAACAGATAGAGGCATGCCCCGCGAGTCGAGACCCATAGGCACCATGGTTGCTGGAAGGCCAAGGATGTTAATTAGGCCACTAAACCCAAAGTACACTGGCGGGGCGCACAGAGTCTGTAAGGAGACCAGAGTAGAAAAAAATGCTTTAATGATAGCTTTTCGTCTCACGGTAATTGGAATTAGTCAGAAATGTTCAGTTGCCTTCAAAAGAAGTCATTTGATGGAACCTACCCCGTGATGAAATGGCGCTACGGATATAGTTGCTGGTAAGACGATGATGCCATCGTTCTGAAGAAGATCGTAAATCAGTTGTTTGTATTGTTCGAATTCCCCGTAGCTTTTTAGACATTTGGCGTAGTTTTTTCGGTAGAACTCATCGAGAAGGTTGACACAGATTGCAACGTTAGTTCGAGTAGAGAAACCGCTAATGAGTTGGACCAACTCTGTCATCGGGTCCCACGAATTTTCGGGCTTATCGAAGTCCAATTTGAGTGGAGGAAACTTATGGGCTGCGAGATAGCTGAAAAACCATTCTTGGTGTCGCGCAATATTCTCCTGTTTGGGAAGTGGCGCTGTCTAAATATTACAAAGAAATTAATCAAAACTAGCTTTAGAGTTAGATGTCAAACATATTACGCCTAGAGAATGACATACGTTACTAACAAACTATTAAGAAAAATCTTCATATCAACGCACTGAATATTTACTGACAGTACTTGCCTTTTTATCTATCAAACATTGGAACTTTACTTCGGGAACAAATCCAAAAAATATGACAAATGGCCAGTGGATTTTTTAACGTGTATATATATATATATATATATATATATATATATATATATATACTAAATGCGAATAAAAATAATTTCATTTGGCCAGTTGATTTGGTTTAGGCGAGCTCATGTAAGTATGCTTATGAGGTCTTAAATTCAGATATCTCCAAATCTCAAAACCCTCTATTGTGCAAGCCTAGAGTAATGACCTGCAAGAAACTTGCATTCTCTTTTTACTTGATTGTATATATTACGTGAGATATGTCAACGGCGGAGCTTCCAGCAAGCAAAATATATGAAATCATTAGTCAGTACTTTTAAGCAATAAAAAAGCCGTACCTGAGCTTTGAGATCATGCCTGAAGAAATCCACCACTCGGTGAACCTGCTTACGAACCTCCGGCTGAATAGCCGACACATATGACGCGCCCTCATGATCGCAAAAAAACACCTTTAGAGTGCAAAGGTTGATAGGGGCATCTAGGCGCAACTTAGAAGGATTGTTTGCCAATATCTTCATCATTCCTATACAATCTTCCGCAGTACGTGCCATGGGTCCCAGCACGTTAAGGGTAAACTTCAGCTCTAGATTCTTCTCAGGAACAACCTAGCAAAACCAGTGCACTCAACTGGTAGTTAAAAATTCGATGGCAGATGTACTTGATATTGTTACTAGATATTGAGGGATAAATAACGGCCGCCTATCTAGCAGGTCTATCAATGAATGAGGTAATCTAACGTATTCTCTATTGTTCACAATTTCCATCTATTTTAAAGTTCTGAGGGTCAGATATAGTAGAAAAAGACCTTCTCAATAGAGCAGTGCCGATTAACTACTTAGCGCCGGAAGCTTGTTTTACATCTTGTTCCCGTTTACCGATTGTTACGAAGCGTAACGATAACATTCTGTAAGAGTATAATAATTCCGCCCTATACTTACTCCCTTACAGGCGATAAGCCCCGGGGTTGGCTTGTGTCCGAAAATTCCGCACCAAGCTGAAGGTAAGCGAATAGAGCCTGATATGTCTGTGCCGATTCCCCAGACAGATGCGTATGCACTGATTAAAGCGCTCTCCCCACCGGTACTGCCCCCAGCAGTTCTACAAAACATGAAAAAATCCAGTCAACACCAACGTACAACGATAGACGCAACTACGGGCGACATTTATGAATCAACATTAAGATACTGAGCGCTTAGAATCGCACTGTTGCAGACTCCGACACTTTTTTCTACTTAAACTTGAATTTAATTAAAAATTGTTTTTTTTTTTCTTCATAGTATCGGCCATCTTCTTTTTAGGAAATAGGAAGCCAATAGGAACTTATGTACCTGTGCAGATCGTATGGATTATTTGTTCGGCCGTGGAGGTGATTTGTGGATTCAATCCAGAGGCACATCTCGGCAACGTTCGTAATAGCCAGGGGTATTGCTCCAGCGGCAACCATGCGCTTGACGCATTCAGCGTCGTCACTGGCCCGAACACCTCGTCTAGCTTCACTACCCACCTCAGCGAGCATGCCTAAAAATAGTACCAATCCAATTGTCTTTACTGTATGTATACATGTAATTCACTTATATTTATTTTATGCTTAAGTTGTTAACTAAAACGTAGAGCTGTTCGCTTATTGGTGTACTTTTTTTTATCTGCTGATATTACAGCGTTGTATATTGTCAAAAGAATTTTTCCTTCACAGGACAAATTCAGTTTCTTGTTACCTAACATAGTCGTAATAGGTTACAGTACTCGTAGTATTTTATCATAATACCATTATTGTGAATTGTGATTGTACTAAAAATAAAGTCTCAAATTTATTAATTCTTTACTATTACCATTAGACGAGCTACCTTTAATTGAAATGCAGTCCTTCACTGTAAAAGGCACACCAAGAAAAGGTTTCGCTTCGGCTAATTTTGGGATGTTATTACAGGCCGCTATTTCGTCGTCTGCTATCCGAGCATCCTCCAGCGCAGCTTCAAAGCGATCATCAACCACAGCGTTCAAATAGACTTCAACCTCGCGAATTCGAGCAATGACGGCACTAACCAATTCCTCAGAGGTCAGCTGTAACATACCATCAGAGGACATCACAAACAGATGAAATCTGTGTAAAGTTCAAGAACTTTATTAAAATAATTTTTTACGCACGCTTCATTGGTAACAAAGTCCTGTCGTCCGCACTAGACAGATTTCTAAAATCCGACTTTCCTGAATCGGATCACTCATCTGTAAAACAGAACTGGAAAAGTAGTCTATACTTTATTTATATTGTATACAGTATAACGTAGACTAACTGATTCATTCTCCCAAAAACCAACGCCTTCCGAAACATTTCACGTATTCCACTGAAAAGTATTATTCAGCGTCGAAATTAGAAGAAAAGACTGTGGAAGGATGTCGTGAGCCGGACAAAGATATACCACGCGCCACAGCGTTGTGTCGGCATATTGGATCTGTGACCGGAACCTAAGATATTGTAGTTAGTACTTCACCAGATTAAAGAATATATGAAAATGATGTTCGATCGTACATTCCAAATCTCGTATTTTGTAATAACATTCCTTCCATAGGACAACAGGAGACCCAGTATATGTATACAGACATTCATTCATATATAGAACTAGACCTATACAGGCAAAGGTTTGTTGTTTCAAAGCAATTGGCTTCGTTCCCTATTCGCTGGCCGTTATAACAGCATCTTGGTTTTATCGATTTCTTGTTGAACTCTTATCTAAAACCAGTCATTGTTTGTACGTTATCGGTATTTTGTTATAATGAAGTTTTTATAAGAGTGTATTCTAACGTTATTTCGGCGTGACATAAGGACCGTGTGCTGGATTCGCCCTGCCTATGTGGATGTCTACTGTAGCCGACTGTTCCGTAATCTGTCTACGAAAAATCTACCTTGCCTATGGAGACGCATCTCTAAGTGGCTTTTGCCGTGCGTGATATGATCAAGGTAAAGCTTCGGTATATGAAGAGTTCTAGATAGAAACATAGTTTACTAAAGATGAATTTAGGGCAGCTAAACGCAGCTAATTTCTACTATCGTTAGCAAACACCACAGTGTATCAAAATACTATCGTTGCTAGGCCGTAAATCATCTGGACGTTTATAGTGTCACGAGGTGGTCCTATATTTCAGAATCGGGGAATAGTAAATATAAACTAGCATATAAACTATTAGAAAGCATTGAGATTAGAAGAAGGATATGCTTAGATAATATAACGTAATTGGTTATAAAAAGTATTTCTACAGAAGCCACCTAAGGTTAGCCATGTTTTTCTATTCGTAATTTATCTATTGTGTAACAAAGTAACTTTTCTCTGTGAACGCTTTGTCATCTACCTCCTGATTTCGGATCATCCTTGCGAGTCTGGTAGCTGAGTACGCGAGGAAGGGCTTCCGTAATGCCGGACACTTCTTGCGTCCATCGCGGAGCCCTTGATGGAATAAAAACTTCACTGTGTCATAGGTCCTAACGGTCAAATAGAAGAAAAGTTCTTTTGCAAGATGTAATAAAATCGCGAACAGTGCGGATGCACGCATCGTTATGCCGACAGCCAATGCTCGGAGAGGCACTTAGCAACGCTGTCTTCTACACTGAATGACAACGGTTTTGTGAGTTCCTCGTAGCTGGCAAGAGATGCTCTTTGCCTACGAGGCACACAATGCAATCTCGAAAGACTGTGCCAAAGAGCGTTCTATTTACTCGCTCGAACTGGAAAGGTTGTCGAATAGATACGAAAGAGTTCTACGGAAAGCCACGGATGGACTTTTTTTTGTCCATAACAAGAGATAACAAAAGAAACAGCACGACTACGATTGTGCCTTGTTTTCATACCCGCCAGGGCTAAATTTGGAGTTGAACAGGAAAGGTACGTAGTCGCGCAGATGAGCGTTGCTTGCTGATGAGTGTTTTGACCGTTTATCTTTAAATCCCTTAATCTCAGTCTTGAATTTCTCAAGCGGTTGAAGCCTTCAACGTTTATTCGTGTTTGTTTAATGATTGTTTATAAAAAGGATCAATAAAAATTATGGGTGTTATTGAGTGGTGATAAGCAGATGACGATGTCAGTTTTCGCTTGTGTTTTCCGAATATGGAATATAGTTGCATAATTTTTGTTTTTTACGATTTTGGGTTTCATCTTCCGATAATATAAGCACTATAGTTCGGCGAACACTGCGTAGAAATTCATATCAATTCTATTTTAGTACATCGACAACCCAGCAGGGTCTAATTGTAAAAGATTGGGGATCGCCCAACTCCACCAACTGCACGTCGTTGAACAAATCGTGAGAAAAACAAAAAAAAAAAAGTTTATTCAGTTCATCGGACACGCTTAGCAACTTACTTTGAAAATGTCATCAGTGATAACAGTGAGGCCATCATGTTGGCTATAATCATTCCATAATTGTGCACAGATTACATCCGCCAGGTCGAGTTAGATAGTAACGGCAAACGAATGGTTCGAAGTATTACGCATTTTGAGGCATTTTGAAAGGAGTAAACGTACTGAAAATGGCAAAGTGATCTCCTTGTAATGTAGATGAGTGCCTTAACTTAATAACTTGCTCGTACATGCAGGCTAGGAAACTAAAAGGCAGACATGACTCGCGGCCATTGGAATATTGCTACAATTTCAGATGACCTGTCTGATTGCTGAGATGCTAATTTGTTTTTCACGAAATAACAAGGATTTGTCCCACAATAATATACAACCCACTATTATACAATCAGTACAGCAATTTTACAAGTAACAGGTCAGATATAAGGACGCGCATACATCTCCGATCGGTTTTAATTTTAAGAAAATAGCAGACATTATAAATATGCGGCGTAATCCAAAAAAATGTGCCACTAGGTTACGATTCATAAAGCTGAAGCAAATGTAATAACAAAAACGTGGTTTCTTTCCGAGCTTTAATCAGCCAGATGCTTGCTACATAATATCACAAATATATTCACTTATACATAGCTAGATACAGCTGATAACAGTGGCTCGCTGTCTGGGGGGCGATCAGTATTTTAAGAAAATGGTTCCGATATCCGAAAAAGTGGTTGTTCGCTCTATCAAATTAACGGAATGCCATGATGTTGCCATTGTTATGTAACGTTTATAACTGCCGTTCCTTATATAGTGTGAGTCGCTTAACAAGATAGAAGTTGATTTAAATTGGGGATTTTTCAAAAGCATACCTTTTATAAGCGCACGCCGTCGTTCGCAATAAGTCGTCAACAATTTCAGGTTTAATTCGCGGAAGACTTTCGGGAGCAGTCTACCTACAGATGAAGTTCATCGAGGTGATGGTGGCTACGTTTAAACGAAAATTAAATTAAACTATTATGTAATTCATTTCTAAGTGGTGCTTGCTAAAAATGATAGTTAGGAAATGTATCAACAAACTCTGTATACCCCACTCTGTATATGTGAATGTTACCTCTCTAGGAGAAGACTCAACTTTTCATCTCGGTGGCCAAAATTTGGCTCGGCTTAATGGTGAGTATCCAAATACCTTGTTGCAGCATGGTAAACCCAAGTTCTAACAAAACATCTAAAAGCAGATTCTTGGTCATTATATATACGGAGACGATAGCCGCCAGCTAACCGCAGAATCAAGTAATTCTCAATGGCATGAGAAATTTGAAAATATCTATAATTGAAAAGAGTGTAAACTCCACTGTCCAGATAAATAGGGTCTTCGCAAATACCTGCCGTTGTTACAATGACGCAACGCTCCCTGGAGATATCGAGGGTAGACACACGTAGAACGGCTTGATATCAACGTAAACACGATTGCTTGCCAGTTACGGGTGGCACAGCGGAAGTGTGTTTGACTTCGGTATCATTTTTAGACAAGCTTATCGGTAACCGAACATTTGAAAGAATAAAATTTTAATCCCATTAAGAGTTTCATGACGGCCGCAAAAGAGTATTACCACTTCAAAAGGTGATTCTGTTATGTCCTGCAAGCCAAACTGGCCAAGACCCATTCCTAGCAGGTGCTTTGACAGGTCTACACGCAAATGAAAACGATTGTTATCGCAGCTCGCACTTACAATTTTTTTTCGTGGAGCTCCAGGAAGTGTTTATTCTTATTTTTACTATTATACACATACCACATTTATCTGGGTCTAATTAAATAAAAAATTATGATCTCTGTTTTTATTCATCACCGACAGGGACTTGAGCGCAAACGTGATTAAAAGTTATATATGGATTTCTAGCGTTATTAATGATTACGAACCTCTAGTCGTCTTCTTTCTTTGTTGCAAAGTAATTTCTAAATTACCAAAGATTAGTTCTTTCCGCATATGCGCTACGTTTGAAAATTAGATGCCGTATCAACTTTTTACAGTACAAAGAAAAGTCTAGTAAAGGATATTCATAGGACACACATATCTCCTGCGATAAAACTAATCAATGAGATGTAGTTCTCATTCGTTCTTGCAAGCTTGCAATTCCAAGTCTTTAGCGAATTTTAACATACTATTTAGTTGGTAGGGATCGATAAGCTGAAGTAACACACCTAGGCGCATTAAGATATAAAATCTCTCTCTCTCTATACACACACACACACACATATATATATACTGAGAACTGGGTACTAGTGATGAAGATCCTTGCGGATGCCTTTGATACTGGCTGCTTACGATTCTCCTTCGGCGCTCATGAGGGCGCAACTTACAAATACTTCGTCCAACCTGAAATCCGTTAACAGACTAATCGGGTGGTAAAATTTCTTTATAATCATTTTCACATTAAAATTATTTGGTACTTGCAGCCCGAAAATTTATTTCTAAGAACAGCCTTCACAAGCTAAAGGCACTCGCCAGTATCAATAACTCATATAAAAGACCTAAAAAAAGTAAGATTATATTATAGTAGAGTTTACCTACTAATATTCAACTATAATCACCGGTACTTAGTCAATCCAGTCAACCCATACCTTTAGCATAATCTGTGATAATATATAACCTTAATTTACGTAATTGTTTCTTGGTCAAAACTACTGTCAGATGCTGAGAAGGTGTCGCGGAACCAAAACTAGTGGTAACTCCAACTTTAATTTAGAGTCCGTGATCACCCTTCGCTGCAAAATGTCTTAGTCTATCCGAAAACTTAGGTAATCCCACTAAGACTACGGAGGTTCCTTGGACTGCGACATTTGTTACATGACTATGGACATCCTGCAAGCCACATACCAGACAGGTCCAGTCGAATGTTGTGCCAGCTATCAGGAGTTGTGATACACTTCAGAATGCCTTCAGGTTCGATCGTTGCATCATTCTGCCATGAAGCACGTTACGTGGACTACATTGAAGGCAACATGAAGTAAACACTTTACTTATATTCGGTGCATTGTTTTCGAACATAATGGAATCATCAGTCACTCGAAAAGGGCTACGTTTGAGTAACGCATTGGTCGTTTATTCCCCCAATAGGTTATTTAATAAGACGCTTTCTGGAGTAGATAAGAGTTGAATAACGTGCATGTAAGACGAAAACTTAATCACAAAATGCCTATACGTATCAAAGAAACGAAAAACCTGTAAAAATAAGAAGTTAACACCAAAAAAAAACCACCAGCGTTTCACATGGACAAAAAGGACAATGATAGATAATAGTAAACTTTGAGCGACTCTGGACTCGTGCGAATAAAATTGACCACTGTACCGGAACATTACAGTTGGTTCAAGCAACTACACTATAAAATATAACCCGTTTTTCGAATTACAAAAGATTTAAGAATCATTACTGGGATTCGAAGCAGAATTGGCATCTATTTTCTCTTTTACAAAAACAATAACATTAATAGATAATTGCCTCATGTCTAAGTGTTCTGAAACTCTCTAAATTGACAGACTTGGTCAATGTGCTTCTAATTACAGTGGCGCGCCAATGGAATTGTATTTCCACGACTTGCCCTTATCTGCACTAGTGTACGTAAATATTTTTAACAGCTGCTTTATTGAAAATCGATAGTGATCCTTTGTTTGGACACTAGATTGTTTGGAACATTTCCTACGACAAATTAACCACAATAATTTTATGATGAAATCTAAAAAACTCGTTGACCTTATCTGAAAAGATTTAAGCTACGAATAAAATCCTATTTGACTTCGGAGAAGATACATTGGAGAGCCTAGAAATTATCATTGGTAAAAAAAAAAACAGTGTATAATAGATATAGTCTTAAACAAATCGGATGTGCTTTTTGTACTTCAACTGATTGCAATTCAAGAATTACCTCTGCTAACCACGATATCTTATTCCTAAATTTACTAGTTGTCAGCTAGGTTCTTCTGAATAAAAAGAAAACGCATCTTACTGAGCATATAATGCTCCTGCGAAATGTAGTAAAACTTTTATACTAAATAGACCTAACTAAGAGGAAGATGTTGTTTTGAAAAAAATATCGTCAACTATCGGACTATGAGTCGCTTTCGAGTCTGCTTAGAGAATACTTTGCCTTTTTTTGTAAAATCGGGTGCTTGTCGATAATATACAGGAGAAACGTATTCAAGCATCTTTGAACGGCTATTTCAATAACATTGCTAGGTATTGATGCTTTCCTGGTCTTGGATCCGTACTTTTAAAATGATAGTAAAATTCTGGTGTGGCTCTAACGAAAAGCAAATTATGTTTCTGACAGGAAAAATACGTTGCATGCAAATCAATGCAAACACTATGGCCCTAAATTTAGACTTTGCTCAAATTCAAGGTGAACCAGACAAACTTGTGCTCGTAACTAAGTTGGGGTTGAGTTCAGGCAAACTCCACTTACCGTGTCGGATGCTTGATATCATTATTACAGTCCCTAGTTCATCATTAGACCAGAAGCAATGCTTAATGGTAGTAGCAGAAATAAAGATCGAAACATTTTTAGTTCATTACAACAGATGATTTCTTTGTGCTCACACGAGGTAAACAGAAACATTGGCTTAATCAGTTACGTGCTGCCAGTATCCTTATCGATCAATTATATTTGAAAAATACTCCTTATTGAACAGGTCCCTGTCATGAACAGCCTTGTCTATTTACTAGATACCTACTTCTATATGATTCATTATGTGATATTGACCTAACATTTCTACTGTTTCTTATTATGTCATCACATAACACCGCTTTACATGCCTGCACATCTGATATCCCGTACATAAAATTCGCTTCTTCGCCGCCAGGCCGAGCCACTGTGGCCATGGAATCGTTTTGCGGCCCTGTAGTGCCATCTAGCGTTCGTCACCCCGTTTCCTCCTCACCCCAGCTGTTGATACGGATGACGAACCAACGAATTGACAGCGCGCGCGATTCGGCGCTGGTAACGATAGCCATCGACGCCAGCAACAGCTCCTTTACCGGCCGATTGAGGGGCCAACCGACAGGGTGTTGAATACCGCTCCTGAGTCGCTATCTTAGAGTAGTGCGTTCACAATGAGCACCGCAACCACCGGAGTTCCGAAAGTGCATGCGGTTTAAGTCCTCAACGGCAAAAGAAGCCCCTAGCAGTCCTAGTGAAACTGCTCGACTAGATGGGATCCGACTAGGAGCCATGGCTAAATGAAGCTAAATAGTTATACCTACATACGTGCGGATATAGACAAACAGGGAATGGATTCTTTTCATATTTTCTCGAGACATGCTGCAAATATCGCAACGGGAACCACTATGCAGCAAACATAGTGTACAAGTGGAACCGATGGCCTATGATGATTTGTAATAGCAGGTGAAATGACAGTGATACCGTATAATTTAACGCAGTAGCTAAAGGATACGATTTAAGTGTTTGATGAGGACTTCTGAGTTCATGAGAAAGAGGAGTATGACAACAATTAAAGCATTGATAGTATGACGCAGGTGAGTGTGAAGATAGTTCAATGTATGTATGCACAAAGAATTGGACCGAAACGTCTTGATAGTTTTAAGGTGTTCATATATATATATATATATATAGCTTTACTTTTATTTTTGCTACGTTTTACTTTTCTGCTACTATAATAGATGCAAGCTGAAGACCTTAAAACTGTCAAGGGACGTATGCGTCGTCGTCAGTGTCACTGCTGAGTACGATGCTCATTCCTTACTTACTTACTTACTAATAAGATGTACATTGAATTTATTACATTCTAGTTATTAGAAAAAAAACTTGGTCTGGTTCTTTACAGCCAAAAGCTGATAGTGGTGTTCACAGGAAGGATATGTCGCCTTATCATGCCGAATGGGACAACCGTTGAACGAGAAGGTCCGCGATACATCTCAGAGCGCGATAAGTGAAAGAGTCCAGGTTTAGGCCCATAGCTCATTTGTGCACCTAATATATAGTGATGGAGTTTTGCTCCGTTAATGTCCTGTGACGTCAGTCTATCAGATAATACGAGAAACGAGTGCACGGAAACGATATTCCGGTAACACAATGTTTCGCTAATGCGTCAGGCTATTAGCACACTACTTATTCTATTTATTTCCTAAATGACACATTAATCGAATGTACAGATGACTGTTCAACTTGATTTTGGCGACACTAATGTTCATCTAGTAAAATCATTCAATTTTAGTAAGTTCTACCGTTTTCCTTACCTGCTATTGAAAATTCAATCTACACATTTTGTTGTATAAGTAATATACACTATGCTTAAAGTAGCCGCAGTTATTTCAAACTGTTTCTAAAACGATTGTCTTAGAGAAGTGCATCAAAAGACAACCTCGAATCACTGCCCTGTGGTACTAATCTATACGCATAGACAAAGAGCAATAATAGTGTGCTAATTATCCAAGTTAGACCAAATAATACTTACCTTACCCTGCACGAAACATCATTATAAATACTACTTTAGCTTCACGGATGTCAAGATGCACACAGGCTAATAAAATTTCTATCGTTGTGTATATGTATATTTATGTATTTTACGATACATTCATATTTCATACTTATTATTGGCTTTTTACAAACCTTTGTAAAATTACGATGATTTTTAATCCTAAACATAGGTAAAGTCAGAGCTGTCCGTAGACTAAATCAAGTAAACATATTTACAGGACGTGCGATTCGTACGATCCCGTCAGGTGGATGATGTCATGCATCGCAATGTATGCAAAGTCACACTTTATACAGATAGAGTCGATTGCCAATATCTTGTACTCACTGTGTGCCAATCTGAATTGATCCAAACGGTTCATCAAGACTTGCCTTAATATCTTTACTCCCTTCAGCCTTTATGCTATCCTACGTGAGTATTCTCGAGTCTACATTAGGCATGATTTTTTTTTTCTTTGCAAAACTATACACTAAGAAAATTTTCCACTGTTCTGTGAATGTTCGTTGACTGTGACTGCCGCAACGTTAACGGCTTTCTGTGGTCTTCTCAGTCAAATATAGCGTTGTCTTCACTGAGCAGAGTGGTGACGGCACAGTCTCTAGACAGTCGCTTATGCCACGATTCGTGAACGGTTTGGCTCGGATAGCAGCTATGGCAGCAAAGGGAACGGTTGGGCGACCAGATGAGTGGAGTGCCCCCAGGGAGGTCGTTGCGTCAAACCAAAACGCTTCCCGGTGTCGCTCAGTATCGCTGCTCCAAGTTGTAACCAAATATAACCTACCTTGCTGTCATTTCAATAGTGATGGCGAAGACTCGAGCGGCAGCAGCGATTGTAGGTAGGGTGGACGCCCTGGTGGTGATCGTCGGAAGCTAGCTTCGAAAATTCTAGCGCCAGTCTCTATCATCGGTGGATATGCCAACTTCTTAGGATAAGAACAGTTTTCGCGCAATGAGCACATGTGGAAACCAATTGATATTGCAGCTGCTGTTGTTCTGAAGCGCAGGGGCCTCGTCTGCATCAATGCTAAGTTCATCACAAGTATATTGTGTTGAAAAGCTAGAAGGCTGAAGCAGAATGAAGCCTTGCCGTATTCACAGCAACTGGACATCGACATATTAATGTTAGTTTCTGTTACCTGGTTGGTTAGAAAGGGATCGGGAGAAGACAGAATTTGATCGTTGGTAGTATTACGTACTTGTATCACACTGGAAATCTAGCATGGCGCGTCTATAAAGGTTTTATTAGTGAGAAAGGTGACACAGCTCGTGGTCGAAAGGGATAACAACTATTGTATAGGTGTCTACGGCGACACCAGTAACATCGACCCCTCTACATGTGTTGCTGAAACGGAACAGAAAAACAACACGCCGATATGATCTATCTAATCAAAATGGGCGGTGCCACAAAATGACGAGCCGGCTAAATCCGAGTTCTCACAGCGTGAAGCAAGAAATTTTAGGTCTAGACATACGTTATATTGTAAGGTTCAGGGATTGGCCCGTTTGTAGAGCTTTATTATGAAGCTATGCCTAGCAATTGGCAGCTTGGAGTTGTTTGCCGCTAGAAAGCAAATATGTTCGGTCAAACATTTTATTATAATTTGCTGCTGTTGTTATTGTTTGAGCCAAACGTATGCGTCCTACGCATGATCTTCTCTACCGGGTCACTGAATCCATAAATAAAAGCCAGGTTTATTGAGGGCGTAACCTACAAGATATTATATCATAAATGACGTTTCTAGTACAAAAACAGAAAAAAAGAATAATATATGGTTTCATGCTGTATTACAATGAACAGTGATGGTTCTTCAGCAGCATATCAGCAAATATATATTGTACTGATGATCATATACCGCTAGTTACTTGCCTTTTAATTGATAATTAATCTTATTTGAACACCCGCCGCTCACTTACACCACTGACTTTTATACCTCATCAAAGTTCATCTGAGTGATTCATGACGCTTCAAGTTCTACATGAAAGATGAAATCGAAGTTCTACAAATCATCTCAATGATCCACAATGCTGTTGGTGCATGTGCGTAGAGTGTCATTTAGAGGCTGTTATGCGGCTACTAATAACATTATATCCTAACGATTAGAAATAGAACGTCGATCGTTAGCCGTTGCCCCCTCGGAGTATGATTTTTTTTATCAAGGCAAAACGGAATCATGACGCAACAAGAGAACGCTGCTAAGAGTGTAGAGGGTGTAAACAAACGTTTCTGTATCTTTCTCAGCACTGCGTTGGTAGTATAACTATCTTTTGCTGCCATATGTTCATATGGCTTTATTAGCGCGGAGGATCGAATAGAAAACACGACCGACTAATGAATCAGTCGTCGCCCTAGTAAAACGAAGTACTTCTGAAACGTTACCAACAGTAAAATTTGCTGTAAAGATATATATATCCCTTACTTCGCCCCCTCCCCGCCTTACACATATACAAGTACCAACCCCGCGCCCACATTCGATCGAATAAATGTTAGCGAAAAAATAGGCGAAATATAAGGAAAGAGAAAAGTTCACATGCACAAACCCAGTTCAACTTTTTGAAATATCGCTTCCAGCTGTTCTGACGTCGGACACGGAAATGCACAAACCGAAGTATCGTAATGGTTTTGTTTAATGATAGGCGAATCGATATTGCGAGCTGCAACAGAACCAACTCCGATCTCCTTTCGTAAATAGGGTCGAACTTTGGGCTTTATGTATGACGAGAAATGAGCCATTGTCGAGAAGAGTAACAAGTCAATTCGAATAGCTGAACCATTTACATGCGAGTGGGCAAAATAGAATGAAAATAGACACTGTCGGATTAATACAGAAAACAATTTTGACCACCTTTCACTCTTTAGTTCATTTATCTTCAGTAATAGCTAGCTTTATTTTATCCCCATAATGTAGACCAATAACGCCAGGCCGTTTGGTGGTCTCTTCTATCATCGGTATATGTGTCTGTTAGCTTTATCGTGCCCATAAGCAGACGACAGGAAAATGGCCAGGGTAAAAATGACTCGCCGAAAATTTGTCTCTGTTTTTATCGTACATATACGCAGATTTGCCTATCCGCTAGGTCGGCACGAAGAAAGGCCCACGACATTAGAAATGAAACGCGCTTATCGGTGTCTATTCATATCACACCATGTGTAAGTTAGAGTTGATGACCAGTTATGCTGACCTCATGAATGCCGCTGACTAGTTACCTCTACCGTCAAAGAGCTGAATGAACAGCTGGGGCCGAAAAAACGTTGCTTGTCGTTGATATAAAGAGAAATACCCTTTTTCGGGCAACAGTACAAAGCAGACAGTTAGATACGGCTCTAGCTTCGCCAGCTAAGGTAGGGATCAGTTGTACAATCCTGCTTAGTATGCTTATACCTATTTTGTGGATTCTCTGCACAAACCAACTTGGTTTCGCTTGTTGGTCTGAGTTTGCATGCATGCCGAGGAGTAGTTTAGCCTAAGGCGGGGAAATAGAGAATGGAAAAGACCTATGCAGTCGATATGATCCATTGCAGGGAAAATAAAGACGTAAACATTATGTAATAAAAGAAGCACAGTGGGTCCTATTTCTCATAGGAAGTCTGCAACTTTCATGGAAACAGACATCACTCATTCTACTTACAGTCATTAGGTTAAGGCAGTTCCCATTCGACTTACAGAAGTAGAACGGTTCTAAATGAATTTTGCGATACGAGCGAAGCTTGTATAGGTATTTTTCTTAATACAAACGTTTGGCATTTTGTAGGATTAAAGTAGGACATAGATATCAGATTAAAGAGAGAGAGGCCATGATATCACAGCTAATCGTCTAATAAAAATATCAAGCTTTGTTCTCTTTTTTTATCACGTTAAAGGAAAACAGCTGATGCGTAGCATTTAGCATTAAATGTTTCGAGTTTTATGCCTGGACATTGCCTGAGTTTGGTTCGTCCAATTTCGTATTTGGCTGGTTTCACGTGTTTCTAGGTTTAGTAAATAAGCACTTTACCGCCGCGCCATCACGGAAACATTCTCAACAACAGACGGTCTTTCTTATGGCCTATAAGAACCGGTATGATGACGCGTAGCTGAAAGAAATTTACCATCCTACAATAACTGTTGTTTTACTTCGAAGCGATTCGATAACATGAAGAGCCAATACTCTAACGGCTAACCTTTACTGTATTGAAAGTTTAATGAGTATTCGTCACCATTGTTGTTTATCTATGAGTATATAGTATACGGCCTATTCAAAGAACGGCCGTTAAAAGGCTTGTTTTTTTGGGAGTAGGTTTGGCTTGACGAGAAAACACTATGGTAAAATCACTACTTTTAAAAAATCTGTTTTGAATTGAAATCTATAAATAGATCCTTTTTAATCTATTTAATTTTATTTTAACCTATTTTAATATAAACCTATTTTTCCCACATAGGTAAAGCGGTAACAGTATTTCGGTTCCCATATTGATAGTGATCATAGTCGTGATAGTGTATTATAATGTGTTTTCCCACAATAAAAAAAACAAAGGCAACGCTTTTTACACCCATTTTTATTTTCTGTTTGTTCATATTCTAAAAAAAGTAGCAAGACCCTATTAAATATCGAGGAGCAGTTGACAGCGTTGTGGTTATACGACACTCAGGTCGTCGAGCCAAATAATGTATGTGAACCTACAAAAAAAATAATTTTACATTGTACATGAACAATTACGAAATATTTTCGCTCGTACTGTTGAAGGGTATTTTGAAAAATTCAGAAGAAATGTGCCAGCTAATGCTTTCGATTGTCAATGATAAGACCGGTGGCCTGGAAGGCGTTTAACGAAGAGAACAGGCTGTTGTATCAAGTTGTCTCCATAGCGTTCTCCATAACTTGCGAGCAGGCCCTTGACATCTATGGTACTAGCAGCACATCTAGCAACGTGTATTTCTATACGGCCATTCACTACTTCATTTTGCTTGCTGTCTCTAAGTAGTGTAGTGTGTTTAAGTGGCGGATCGACTCACCGCCAAAAGACTGTATGTAGGTAACATGGCGGCGATGCCATTTGTACTCACCTATACCGGATCGACGCTCCATCCCTTGAATACTTTAGGATACGCTAACCTACGAGAAAAACATGAAAAGAGGCAGATCCGCTCTGTGCACACGCCGAGCTCCGAATGTTTCTGAAGACGAAAACTAATTTTATATTCCTTCCGCCTTGGGAGAAGTGAGCTGGTACCGAAAACTATGGATCAGACCTGCTGCTGATATAGCCGTACACGCGAAATTGACACCAACACACAATACCCGGTTGAAGTGGCGCATCTCGCGCCATCTGTGAACGTTTGCACACAGTTGAACAGCATTAAGTCCGGCGACAATGATTTACGTACATTCTCTGGACGGGAGATGTGAGTGAAGCCAGTCAGCGGGAACGGTCC